AATTAAATACAAGAAGAGAGATTTCATTCATTATTCTCTATATCATCATCTTGCAAAAAAATATAAATTAAATACAGAAGGGAGAAATCATTCATTAATCTTGATACCATTGTCACTATCCATATGATACAATGATTATCTTAAGCCGATTGCTGCACTAATCAAGCTATTGCTAACTGCTAAAGCAATTACAAGTGAATTCACCTAAAAAAACTCATGAGGACAGAATGTTGCAGCATTTTGTTACAGTGAACTGTGTTGTGAAGGTAAGTCTTAAGGTTCCAATTCACAAGCAAGCACCCACAGTACCTGTGATCTTCTAAAGCTGCCAAACAATAACCATTCAGTTCATATATGCGACTGTAACATTTTTATAAAGCTGTTCCAAAACTTTATAAAAAAAAACTGAGCATTAATAATTTCAGACATGCTCTTCAATTATCCGGCTTCCATCCATGGCATCTGAGAGCTCTTGTATACTGCAAGAAGTACTCCTCTTCATTTTACCAACCAGCACTGCAATCCTCCCTCCCAATCCTAACCGCAGAAGTTCTCTTCTGAGTACCTCGCAAGTACTAGAATAAGGTGGAACGCCCTCATCCACCATCATCTCAAAATAACGGCACGCCTCTTCAATCTTCCCCTTCTTCTTACACAGCCCATGAACCATTACAGCATAAGTTGACGCAGATGGAAAGAATCCTCTTTTCTCCATACTTTCCCAAACCTCAATCACCCGATCAAACCTCCCAACAACTATCAGCATCTTCAGTAGCATATTATAGGTGTGCCGGTCAGGCAAACAAGAGTCTTTATCCATTCTAGAAAGAAGTCTGAGCGCCCTGTTAACCTCTCGAAGCTTGCAATGCAGAGCTAGTATTGTATTGTAGCTCCAGGTATCAGGCTTGGCACCCCTTTCAATCATTTCATCGAGCAGCTGGTAGGCGTCCTCAGCCTGCTCCCTCTCACACAACAGCTTGATTATGGCGTTGTAGGTGAATACATTCGGTATCTGGTCATGCATTTTCATGTGCTCCATGACTCTCATGGCAGAGTTCAGATCCCTCGATTCACAGTAAGCTCGAACGAAAACTGCGTAGCTTGCAGCATTCGGCTCAAGCTCATGCAAGGTCCTCATCTGCTGGAACCGTTTGAGAGCCTCATCCAGCTCTCCCCCTCTGCAAAGTGCTGCAATGAGAGAATTATAACCAGCGACATCGACGAAGAGATCTCGTTGTAGCATTTCGTCGAATAGGATCTGTGCATGCTTCGGTTTCCTAACCAATGCCCAGCCATTTATGAGAATCGTGTAGGTTTTCTGTGTGACGGGGAACTCGGACTTACATTTATGGAAAAACTCTTGCGCTGGGATTACATGGCCTTGATGACAGAGAGCCGAGAGGAGGTGGTGGAGGTCGTCGACGGCGGGGTGGAGACCAAAGTCGGGCATTCTTCGGAAGGCGCGGATGGAGTCGTGCGGGAGAGAGGCGCGGGCGTAGGCTTGGAAAAGGAGGCGAAAGGAGTTGGAGTGGGAAAAGTTAGGGCGGAAGTCGGAGAGGAGGGTCCAAACAAGAGGAAAGAGGCGCTCGGAGGCCAATAGGTCGAGGAGGACGAAGTGGGAGGTAGGGGTGTGGAGGAAAGATGGAAGGGAAGATGACCAGATGAAAAAGCGGTAGGAGGGAGAGGGGAGCTGGCGGCAGCGCTTGAGGACTTGCTCGGCGATGGAGGGGGAGACGGTGGAGGAGAAGGGGCGGAGGGCGGACTCGAGATCATGGTGTGGGGAGCGGAAGTCGCTTAGTACGCGGCAGAGGTTGTTTACGATGGTGGTGGTAGGGTCATCGAGGGCGGCGGCAGCGGCGGCGGAGTGGAGGGCGAAGGAGAAGAAATGCGGGAGTGAGCGTGGAGAAAAAATGCGGATTGCCATTTTAGTACGCTGTTGCTGCTGCTGCTGCTGCTGC